TTACAAAAATTAAATTTGGAATTTGTTTTTAGGAATTCAAGGAGTTTTTTTGGGAAACACTTCTTTTAACAAATTTAAAATTGCAAAAATTAAATCAAAAATGCATAGTTTTCTATGTTTAGAAATGTTTTGTCAAGAAAAACTCGCTATATTGAAATGCCAAAACCAGCTAAAAAAATAATAAATTATTTCTGAAATGCATTTTTTCTTATTTTGATGGTTTTATTATTAAACTCACTAAATTCTAAATGAGTTGGCAAGAAATGACAAAATTGTAATAACTTTAGAGCGTTTTTCACTATTCTACAAATAATTGCTCACAAATTCAAAAAAAAAATGAAATGAAATAAACATTCCTTACTACTACTTTATTAAATTAATCAACAATATATTACAAAAACACAAACAGAGTTATTTATTCGTCAACCATGCGACGACTGAATTCAAGTGTCTTTCTCTCCAACTGATTCGAATCTTGATCAAATCAACAGCAGCTTGCATCAGTGTTGCCACTGATTTTAAATCCTTCTGGTGGAGTTTATAAAATTGAGTCAACTGAAAAAAAAATAAAAAATAAAAATAAAACACTTGAAATAAACCAAAAAATCCAAACCTACATCTTGTAAATCAATCTCGGTGGATAAATAAGCGAGAAAATCTTGGCAAATCGAATTAAGTACCAAATCAACATCCTCATAAGAATTGTAAACACGTTCCCAGTTTAATCTCAAGAAGTGAAAACCTGTTCGAATTCCAACCAAGTGATTTATCGATTGCCACACATAGGGAATATATTCGAGGGTAATATTCCCACTCAAGGACAACTCCAAGTACCTAAAACCTCAATTTAGAGGAAGAAAAGTGAAATTTGAGGACCTGACTTGTTGATAAGCCACGGATCGTGTGTACAACCCAGACTCAAATAGGCAATTTTCAAATCAGCTGGGGATATTTGAGGGACAAGAGTGCGATTCCAGAGGAAATTCCACTCATGCAAACTCCCTGTTTTAATCCCAATGCATTGCACAGTCTGGCGGTACTCAAACGGAATCCTGAAAAAAATTGTAAAAAAAATTAATTAAAAAAATTCGTATTTTTTTTATAAATTCAAAATTTAGCTTGGAATTACGTAATTTTTGTTTTTGTGATTTTTTTTGAAAAATTTGATATTCCATAAAAAGTTTGGAGGGTTTTTCAACGAAAACTATAAAATTATGTCTTATTTTTGGTGATTTCGACAAATTTTGAGCACTTTTCATCCAGAATTTTCTCTTTCCTATTTTTTTGCTTTCTACTTTCTGTTTTTCTTTTTTTCTTCTTAGTTATTTAGTTTAATTTAAGAGAAGAGAAAACTAGGACTGGAAATGCGTTCTTTTTGTTTCATTTTAAATCTGAAATGTTTTTAAGAAGTCAACATGTTTTTTTTAAGTAACTTACTGAATTTGGAAAATATCGTTAAAAAAGGGTTGAAATTTGCAAGATTAAGTAAAAAAAATTGATATTTTCTTTAAGTTTAGGAGGATTTTATAACGAAAAACGCTCAAATTTCTAAAATTTTATTAAAGCAAAGTAGCAAAGAGTAAAAGTATATCTAAAATGCCTTAATTTTGCTTGTTTTGATTCGTCAAAAATTTTTTACTACTTTTTTGTGTTATTTTTTTTTTCTTTTTTTTACCTAATTAACTAAATTTAGAAGACATTTACCAAAAATTGCAAAGTTAATCTAGAAATACGTAATTCTTGACAGTTTCTAAGAATTTAAAGCGTTTTTTTCGAGAAACTTACTAAATTTTGTAAAATATTGTTAAAATAAAGTCAAAAATTGCAAAATTAAGGCAAAAATTTGTTATTCCCCTTAAGTTTAGGACGGTTTTTTAAACAAAAACGCTCAAAATTGAAGAGATTTTGCCAAGACAAATTAGGAAATTTAAAAAAAATTGGTCTAAGATGCCTTATTCTTCTTTATTTCAATAATTTTTAACACTTTTTATTAAAAATTCTCTCTTTGCTATTTTTTTTCTTTTAGCCATATTTAGGTAAATTTAAGAAAAAAAACACAGATAATTACAAAAATAAGATTTGAAAATGCATTATTTCTGCTATTGACAAAACAAGACGTAAAATTTTGAAATTAAATCTGAAAATATATAACTTTTGCTCATGTTTAGAAATTTTAAGAAACTTACTGATTTAAAAAAAAATGCTAGAATCAGGTCAAAAATTGCAAAATTATATGAAAATTTTGTTATTTTTCTATAAGATTGGGTATCGTTTTCAATGAAAAATGGTCAAAATTTTAGAGATTTTGTCAAAGCAAAGTAGAAGATTTTCGAGCAATTTTTTTTTCTTTAATTTTGCTTTGTTTCGTCGAGAATTTTTTTTCTTTACTATTTTTTTTTCTTTTTTACTTTTTTCTTTTTTCTTTTTAGAAACTAATTATCTAAATTTAAGAGGAATTCGTCATAACAATTGGAAAATTAAATTCAAAAATGCGTTTTTGAAATTTAGAACGTTTGAAATTTACTGAATTTGAAAAATATTGTTAAAATTAAGTCAAAAATTGCAAAATTAAATCAAAATTTGTTACTCTCTTCAAGTTTGAGACGGTTTCATAGTCAAAAACGCTCAAAATTGAGGAGATTTTGTCAAAACAAAGTAGGAAATTGATAAATTAGGTCTAAAATTATTTATTTTTGTTTATTTCGATAATTTTTAGCACTTTTTATTGAAATTTTTTGTTTCTTATATTTTTCTGTTAACTATATTTTACGTAAATTTAAGTAAAAAAACAATTAAAACAATAACAAAATTAGATCTGGAAATGATGCTAAGATAAAGTCGAAAATTGCAAAATTAGGTAAAAATTTGGAATGGTTTTCAACGAAAAACGCTCAAAATTCTAAAATTTTTTAAAATATGTTAATTTTGCTTATTTTGACAAATAAGCACTTTGTCGACAATTTTTTCTTTACTAGGAGTATTTTTTTGTTTCTCTTTTGCTTTTTTTCTCCTTTTCAGAAACTAATTAGCTAAATTTGAGAGGAATTTATCAAAACAACAATTGGAAAATTAGATCTAAAAATGCGTTTTTGAAATTTAGATAATTTTTTATACTTAAAACTTTTAAAATCCAACAAAAATTTGCCAGAAACAGGGCAGAAAAGTGATAAATTAAATCTGAAAATACGTAATTCTTCCAAGTTTTGAAAAGCTTTTTTTAAGAAACACTAAATTTGAAAAATATCGTTAAAATGAAGTGAAAAATTGCAAAATTAAGTCAAAACTTTGTTATTTTCTTTATGTTTAGAAGGATTTTATAACCAAAAAAGCTCAAAATTCTAAATATTTTGCCAAATCTTGTTTATTTTGTCAATTTTTTTCCATCGAAAATTTTTTCTTTGTTATTTTTTCTTCTTCTTTCTTTTTTTTTCCTTTTAGCTATATTTAAGTAAAAGAAAAAAAACACAGACAATTACAAAATTAGATCTGGAAACATAACTTTTGCTAAAAATCTGATAAAAAAAACAAAAACTTACGGATTTTTCGTATCAGGATCAGCATTTTCCATCCATTCGGAAAACTCCTTCTGCGCCCACCGAATGCAAGGCTCATATCTCAGTTCACACGCGATTTTGATCAATTTCCATCTCAGGATTTTGTCGTTTTGGGATTCCCCCGGTTTTTCTCGTGTTCCCAACGAATCGAATTTGTGTCTGATAAGGAGGGTCATGTAGCGTTCGAAAGCTCCAGTGTATTCGTAATTGTTGATAATGAATCGGATTTCTTCGAGACTGCTGAGGGCTGTGGTCCATGGTATGTAATTGGACTCTTTCCATGTGAGGTATTTGGTGAGTCGAAGAGGGATGCTGTAATTGATGATTTCCATTTGGGCGAGTTCGAAAGCGTCGTCGATTAGTTGGCTGCGACTTGCGACGGGGATTTCAGAGGGGTTGAGGAAGAGTTGGCGGGTTAGGAGGTTCCAGTTGTGGGTGTCGTAGTTTACCCGGAAATAACCTAAATAAAAAAATTAAAAACACAAAAAATAATGAAGAAGAAAAAAAAATTAGTAAAAAAAGTGAAAAAACAAAGAAAATGCTCAAAAGTATTAAAAAACAAAAAAAATCTTATTTTTTATCAGTTTTTGCCTAAATAAGGTGACGTAAAAATTGCAAAATGAGACAAATGAAGAATAAATTAACCAAAAAAACAAATATGGTAAAAAAATTTAAACAAAAAAATTCACATAAACAAACTTTAATTAAAGAACAGAAAATTAACAGAATTAAAAAATAAAAAAAATTGTTGGTAAAAAAATTGTACAAAAGCAAGGAAAAAAACTAAATAAACAAGCATTTTGACAAGCTAAATTCTAGTAAAACATTGATAACATAAGATTAAAAAATTTTTTGAAAAAACAAAAAAACATTTTTTTATTCATTTTTGTCAAGGTAAAATTTTGTAAGAATTAGAAAAAAATAGATTTCGTTCACCTAAATGCGAGTTTTCAAACTTTTTTGTAAAAATTCTTAGTAATTCTTTGTAAATTTAATATACGAAACACCGATAAACACGTAAAAATAGCATCAAAGTAAGAAAAATAATAAAGATAAAAAAATGAGTAAATGAATAACAAAAGAAGTAAAAGAATTAAAGAAAATCAAGTATAAATAAGCAAAAAAGCTCGAACCTATTAGAAAACAAAGAAAACCCTACTTTTTATCAGTTTTTGTCTAAATAAGGTAAAGTAAAAATTAAAAAATGAGACAAAAAAGAGCAAAATTGGTAAAAAAATGGGAAAAAATTTAATTTTTGAGAAAGTAAATTTAAATCAAGCAAATAAAAATAAATAAACTTTAATTAAGCACTAAAAGAACAACAAAATAAAAGAAATAAAAAAAATATGGTAAAAAAATAAGTAAATAAATAAACTATAAAGTAAACATTTTTTTTAATAATCCTTGACAAGGTAAAATTAAAATGAAAGATATTAGAAAATTTTTTTGTCAATGAAAAAGTGATTTCGTTCACCTAAATGCGAGTTTTCAAACTTTTTTGTAAAAATTCTTAGTGATTTTTTGTAAATTTAATATACGAAACACCGATAAACAC